CAGCACCTCCTCGTTTGGACTTTGGTGTGGTCCCGGCTGAGCCCTCCGTTCTCCACTTCACACCTTCTTTCCTGCAACCGAAGCGCACCCCTGGCCCCTTGGAGTCGCCCTCTCACGCTGGGAGGCCCTCCTTTACCCCGCAGCCCCCGAGTCTGCCAGAAGGCTCCGGGCCTGAGTGGGCCATAAATGCTGCGCAGAGCCAGTGCCTGTGACGGCAAGAATGGTTTGTGTGCGGCGCGGAGGGCCTCCCTTGCGCAGTGTTTGAAAAAGAAGCGTCTCTGGGTCTGAGCTGCACCCGTCCCTGGGGGCGGCTCGGGGCCCATCAGGGACGTGCTTAGTGACCCCTGGCTGACTCTGCGTTTTCCTTTTCCTTGTCTGAAGCAGTGAGAAGACGGTGAAGGTGGATTAATTGAGGACATAAAATTCTGTTCCAGTCACCTTGGCTTTTGTACTTTATCTGCAGTTCCAGCTAGAAAATGGGCCTTATACTCACTAACATGGATGTGAGTGTTTGTCTTTTCTAACCTGTAGAGATAAGGGAAGTTTGCAAACTGGTTCAGTGGAAACATTATTGTCAATGTAAACTCCTGAAAAATGAAACCACAGGTAAAATAAATTTAGAATTTTGCTGAACTTCTTGGAAAGCCTGAGGCTTTCAAATCTGACCTTAACAACAACAAAAGTTATTACCTAATAGGAAGATCTCTGTTTGCATTTGACACCCCCACCTGCCCTCTGAGAGTCGTGTCTCCCCCGCGCCCGCCCCCCCCCCCCCCCCCCCCCGTTTCCCTTGTGCCTCTTCCAGGTGCGTTCACACCCGGTGGCAGCTGCGCTGGTGCACAGGTGAGGGCGGACAGTGTCAGGCAGGGCCCGGCCTGCTCGGATTCCCACTACAGTTAGTTCTCTGAGGTGTGAAGTGTCTGTTCTGAGGCTTGTTCCTTTTACTCTTAAACTGTCAAATCCTAGGCCAGATGGAAACAAAGTCTCTAATACGCAGGCATGCCTCTGACCAGGAAAAGGGGCGTGTCCTTAGTAGTTACAGACCTTTGGTATTTGCATTTCCTCTGTTCTCACTAAATCAAGCCCAAGTAGAGCTGGACTACTTTTATGAAGTTCCTATTTCTGCAAAAACTAAGCCCTTTGTGGTTTTCCCCTTTCTTGCAAATGGTTGCAAAATCTTTTATAATAATAAACATATCTTATAAACTGTTATAAAAACATAATACCCAATATAAATCATTTCCCTATTATTAGTACTTAAATCCCTCTTTTCCTTTAAAAAAAAACAGCTGAATTGAGAGTGTGTATTTTGATTTTTGCTGTTAAGAAATGGTTTTGAAAATTCATTTTGAAGTTAAATACAGTTTAAATTCCTTTTGTAATTCATGAGAGCTACTGACTCAGATTCGATTGAAAACTCTAAGTTGGTAGATCTGGCTTTAGAACCGAGTGAAATACCTTTCTTGAGTAAAAGAGGCTTAATTTCAAAGTTCTTAAGCTGTGGAGCTTCACTTTTTAAAAATTACTGAATTGTTTATAAATTTTTGGCTTCTCAAGGCAACATTTTAAAAAATAGTCTATGGAGTTTTCATGTTTATACAGGATTTTTACCATACGATCTCAACCATTAATAGATAATTGTGGTAAGTTTTAAATATTTTTTAATTTCAGAAGGACCATCTTGTTGCTCTGAAATTTGTAAAATAAACAGAGAGAAATCACCCATAACCCACTAGTTCAGTGAAATTAACAAAGTATTCATGTGGGTTTCATTTATTTAAGAACATACATAATGTTTTTACATCACGACAACATGGATTATGCATATTTTTGTAGAGGATAAACATTTGTATTTAAATCCAGTCTTACCAGTATTATCATTTTATTTGACTGAAATCTTCAGGTTCAGACAGCCATAGAGAAACCCCCTTTCTCTGACTCGGAGGGTTCCGAAGGCTGCCCAGCGCACCCGCGAGGCTGTGGTCAGAGGCAGGGCTTTGAGGAAAGTGTGGGGAAGGAGGGGACTGGGGCCTCTGGGCGTCGAGAGCCGGGCTTCACGCTGCTCTGGACTTGGGTCTCCCTGGTGGCACCGGCCAGGGATCTGCGATCGTTTTATTATTCAGTGCCTTCCAGCCCCCGCCCTGAAGAAGAGCATTTAATTGCCTCTCTAAAGAAAACAATTCCTGCTTCCCTACTTCGTGGTGAGTAGGAGGGAACTCCGCTTCCTGTTAACATTAAGACATTTCTGAAAGATGCTATTGTGCATTGACATCAGGGTTTTTTGGTTTTTTTTAAATTACTGATCTTTTGAAAACACAAAGAACTCAGTCAGTCACAGAAACAGGTGCTGGGCCAGCCTTGCCTGACACATCAGCACCTGCCCACGTGGGGCGACTGAGGCTGTCCCGGGAAGTGGGGGCTCCGTACCCCGTGTCGGGGGTCACCCCCACCTCAGATCCCCGAGTGGCACCTGCACATTTGTAGGTCTCTTCTCTGCTGCTTCGTGGTGGTCTGTCTTCAGGTTCCTCGAGGTCACTCCGCAGACTTGGGTCAGGGAAGCTTTGAAATCCCAGTAGCTTGAGCGTGTGGTCCTGTTGGGCAGGTGGCGGCCTCAGTGGCCTCTTTCACAGAGCGGGTTGTGCGGCCTAGTCACCGTGGAAAGCAGGCGGGAGCAGTGAGCAGAAGTGAACCCACCACCAGAAGCGGGTCCCTCTCACAGTTGGGCCATGCCCGTCAGCATTTACTTAATCTCACTTCATGGAGTTTTACGTCAGCTTCAAATAACAGTGCTTTCAAAGTGTGAAGCATTTTGGAGTTGTTGAGTAAATCCGTAGTTTCCAATTTAGGTTTCTGGGGTGGAGAGATGCACTCTTGCCCCTTAATCTTGCAGATGAAGAAATGTGGGGCACCCGAGGGCATCAGTCCTGCCGTGTGTGAGGAGGGGGGATCTGAAGCGGAGCCTCTCCTGTCCCCTGTATGGCCACCCCCCGCCCCCACCTCACCGTCAGCTGTCGAGGTTAAAAGAGACATTCTAGAAATACGCACCCTGGCAGAATACCACAAATCAACATGCCCTACGAAGTTATTTTTGCTGTGAAATTCAAGAGAAGTTGAAATGTTTCTAAACCAGAACAGGCTGTAATATTTTCAATTACAGGAAACTTAGAGAAATTTGAAATTAATCTCTAAGATTGTGTGAAATGTAACTTAGTTTTGGTTGTAAAAGGGACCCCAATCACACGAAACCCAGGGGTTTCAGCACAGCCAGACCCTCCCTGTGGAGGGGCTCCTGGCCACGTTCCATATGTGAGCCTTCTTTTTTGTAGATAATAATGTGTGGGGCTTGTGTTTTTTCTGCAGAAGCGACCCCTTTGTTTGAAATTTAATGAAGAGAAAGTAGGAGAGACTGTGTTGAGGAAATGATGTTGGAAGACTGAGCTTCAGTACTGCATCCAGACCTCAGCTGCAAACTCAGACTTAAGGCTGAACTTGACCTTCTTAACCCATGGCCAGCGGCATGTAACTGTTTATTTTTACAGCAGCTGTAATTGGGGGCTTGCAAGTGTGTCGGTTTGTTTTCTCATTCAGTTATGTTTTAATTGTAGGATTTGTAAGTTTCGTGGCATGAAGCTCAGCAAAAGCTGGTTTTTCCTGACTGTCATATGTTATCTTACTCTCAGAAACTGGTGTCTAATGATGCATTAAAACACCGCCTCCTGCAAGGCTGGGACCTTCAGCCAGGTTCACTCTTCACCCCTTAAGAAAATGTGTTCTCTGGGAAATGTTGCCCCACATGAGGCAAAGCACTCAGTTACTGGAAATGTCGGCTCTCCAGTTCTTTTCATGTGTGTTCATCTCTGTGTGTTTTCATGTTCTAGATTTTTCCTTAGCTTTGCTGACAGTTACATTTCGTAATCACATGGGTTTTGAACTAGGCTGCGCTGAGTTCCTCTCACTCTCTGCCATGTCCTGGCCTCCGTGTTGGTGAGTCCTGTGTAGCAAGTGTGTGAAGTGACGATGAGGCAGATGAACAAAGGAACTGGAAGCTGGAGGGTTAGTGCACGTCTCCGAGGCGTCTGGATTGTCCTGACCCCCCCATGGAAACGTCATGTACCTTCGTGTCTTTTCGTTGTGACTTTGTTGCTTTTGGTGGGAAAAAGGAGTTCTTGAAAACAGTAGTTAATACCCAAGTCGTAAGTCATACTCAGCCTTGGAGTACCTGTGAGGTACGACCCTTTTCGAACACTCACGCCTGCCTTTGGACAGCCACGCTCCTCTGGGCTTGCTCTCACTTTCCGTGTGTGTGGCGGGACTGAAACCTCGGAGGCCCTGGCCCCCCGGGGAGCATTGAGGGCCGGCAGCGTTACTTGTGGTTGGTGCTCAACACGCGTTTCTGCTGTTTAAGAGCGAGCCTTGTGCACCCTCTTTGGTCACGCGGACACGGAAGCCTGTCACCTGTGTCTGCTTCACAGGGACGCAGAGGCTGAGTGGCACAGCCAGGCCCGGGCCCTGCTTCCGTCTTGCCGTGTGTGGTGGTGATCTGGGATCATGGGTTTCTTGTGGGGGGGAAGACGTCTGTCTTCCTAAAAAGAAGTTTGAGAATGACTGTTGGGTCGATAACTTCAGGGCTCTGACTTTGTCTGGACTGGCTCCTCATTTCTGGGGGCTGGAGACAGACCCGGATCCTGGATCAGAACCTGTTTTGTGGCAGAACCACAATTAAAATCTTTTAATCTGACCACATGACCAGCACTCTCCCTGGTGTCCCGCAGCGAGCGCCCCACCAGAACCTGGGGTGTTCCAGCGTTCTGTCCGGAGTGATAGACGCCCATTCCATACCTGTTTGCTGCACCATGAGTGAAGCAGTGGCGAGACGCCCTGATGTCCATCGTCCGTAGATCAAGGTCAACCGCCCCGAATGTTGGCCTCTTGGACGCCCTGACTTCGGCCTGTTGCAGAACTGGGCCCGTGTTTAACAGATTGTTTGTTGTCGCCCTTAGGATCACCTGCTGCTGCCAGCGACCACCCATAACAAGACCGCAAGACCGAAGATGTCGATCGTGCTGCCCGCCATGAACGTCAGTGGTGAGTGGCTGTCCTGGGTCACGGATGGCGTGAGAGCGCTTGGCGGGGCCGAGGCTCTCTGGGTCGGCCGAGAGACACTTGCAGGGTTCAGCTGGTCACGTGCATATCCACGCGTTGACTGTGAAGCATTTTCCACTATTTTCACAAGATATTATTTTTAAATTTTATACTATTTTTAAGTATTAGACTTAAAGTTACTTTTTAAATTAATACATTTTTAAAAGAAAAAACCAGTGCTTTTTTTTTTTTGTCATATTGGAAAAGTTAGCATGCTGACTGTCTGCAGACTTGGCGCCTGGGACCTTTTGGGTTCAGATGCCAAATGAAAGCCCCAAGAGGGACCTTGGGGTTTGTGTTTGAGAACTCAGAGCAGTTTCTGGCATTATGCACATGGCAGTATCATTTCCAGACCAGTCCTCAGAAGTCTCTCTGTATTTAATCCGTTATACCAAAGAACTTGGCACTGGCAGTGTTGTGTTGCGTTTGTGTGTTAGTGCTGTTAACTAGTGTGCGAGTCGGACGGTAGCACTTTTAGACCGTCCGGAGATGGCTCTGCCAGTGGCTCAGTTGGTTGGAGTGTAGTCCTATGCACCAAAGGTTGCAGGTTCAATCCCTGGTCGGGGCGCATATGGGAGGCAACTGATTGGTGTTTCTCTCTGCCCTCTTTCCCTTCCTCTCTCTCTAAAATCAATAAACTTATCCTTGGGTAAGGATTTAGAAAAAGAAAGACTATCCGAAGATGTTAAGGCAGAGAGCACTTGTTTAACATTCTCGAGAAGGGAAAAATAAGAGAAACAGAAATTTCTACTCCAGAAAGCGAGCCCCGTGGGAACATACAAAGCACTACAGAAATGCAGCGAAGGAGAGATTGCTTCAAGCTGTGTTCCCATGGAGCGGGGGCCGACTTCCTCCTGCTGCTGCAGGCCAGGGCCTGCTCACCGCTGCTCTGGTGCCTGTGCTGGGCTCTCACGAGACGGGCTCTGACACCGACGGGAAAGCGGGGGCCGCCGCCGCCTCGGGCCCCGTGTCAGAGCACCGGGACCCCCGGGAACTCTGTGTGGTGTCAGAGGCTCCTGGGGTCTGAGGAAGGCAGACAGGAGAGCCCTTGGACTAGCTCTCAGTTGGCCCCGTCCACTTGAAAACCAAAACTGTGAGGTTGAGGAGCACGTCTTCTTCCTGCAGTGAAGGCGCAGCCTTGACCCCGGGTGTGCATCTCACGCCCCCCGACCACAGGCTCAGGAAACAGCCTTGTTCTCCGGCGCCGGCCCCTGGGCTTCTCCATGTGAGCCGGAGTCAGCGTCTCTGGCTCCAAAAGGCTCCCATCTTCCGCCGCAGCCAGGCAGTGCTCGTGTGGCCTCATTGCTGTGATGGTGGCCCTTTCGCAGGAGGGTGCGGGAGCCGTGAGCGCACCCGTCTCTCTGAAGCCAGAAACAGTGCGATGCTGTTCAGCTCTGCTTGTCTTGGCCAGGGGACTGATTTCTGAAAACAAGCGTTTCATGGGTTTGAAAAGTACAATCATTGGAGGCTCATTTCCTTTTTAATATGGTTTGGATTTCTCTGTAAATAGTTTTGTTTTTTCTCTTTAGGGCATAGTAACCTATTAGGAAAGTTCAGGTTCCAATTCAGGAGTCACAGGCTGTGTGCACACCGGGGGGCCGTCCTCAGGCCCCACCTCCCACAGGCTGCTGCTCCCACCTGAGGCTCCCTGAGCCCAAGGCGTGGGGGGAGGGGACCGAGTCCCTGCCCGACTGCAGCCTCCACACCGTCTCCCCCGTCCTCTGCCATGTCCCTTGAATCCTTCAGGTGTGTGACGGACCTCTGTTCCTTCCTGGTTGCTGTGTTCTGCCCCCTGCTGACCCCACACGTCTCTGCCAGCCCTGCGCTACCTCACCCACTCCTGACCTCATGACCTTTGTCCTCTGACCCTACCACTTTTTCTGTGTCCCTCGTGCCCACTGTGGAAAGGTGTGCCTCTGTACCTGGCTAGATTCCATGCCCCTCCTCAGCCCCTCTTCTTCCCCACTGGCTAATTCTGTCCTGCGTCCCACTTGTCTGTGAAAATCCCACGCTTGCTGAACCCAGCTGTCCTCTCTGTCTTTAGCTGGAAATCGCTGGCAGCAGCCTTGCCAGGCCAGCAGAGCTGTTAACCCCAAGGAGCTGTCCCCAAAGAGGAAGCCTGTCCTTCTCTCCTTAAACCCCCAGCAGCCCGGCCTGCTGGCGTATTCCAGGCCACTTCCACCCTCGCCTACGTGGGTGCCCGCCTTCCACCAGGCTGGGCTGGGTGTTGCTGGGCCTCCTCGTCTGCCTGGGGAGGTGACAGTGACACTGCCCTCCCTCTCAGAGGTGCGGAAAGACTCGAGTCGGGGAAGGTGCTTCAGGTCGTGTAGCCACAGTGAGGGGGCCACTCAGTCCCCGCCATCACTGTCAGCACCGTCACCGTCCTCTGAGGCCACTCCGTCCCTGTGGATCCGTGTCCCAGTTCCTCTGAGGTCAGAGTCTCCACTCCGCCCTTGAGCCCTTCCTGCCTGCGAGAGCAGCTCCTTCCTGCTGGCTGGTTCTGTCAGCTCTGCCCTGGGGGACACCTGGAGTCCCTGTGCCTCTGTCTGCCTTGTGCCCCAGTGGAACCTGCAGGAGTGGCTTGTCCGTCCTACCCTCTCCACCCTGGCTTTTACCCCTCACTGCCCCGAGAAGCTCTTGCAGGAGGGTCACTGCGCCAGGCTCTTGCCAAAGCCAAAGGCCACTCCTCTGTTCCCTCTACCGGCCTCTCGGTGGGTTGCATGGCTGACAGTTCCCTCTTTTCTCCATCCTCCAGTTTTTAGTTTAAAAAATGTCAAATCGACAGGACATTTGAGAGGTGAATACAGCAAGTATCTGGAGACCCTTTACCTAGATTTCACCAGTTGTTAACCTTTTCCCACACTTCATCTTTTTCTGCTTGTCTGTCTGCATTCATGTATTTTTTGAGCCATGTGAGAGGAAGTTGCAGGCATTCTGACACTGGACCCCCAAGTGCCTGAGGATGGGCCCCTGAAAGACAACACGGCGTTGTCCTTGTGTGTGTGCACGGCGGTGCGGCCACACCATGAGGAGCTCACCGTCGGCGCTGAACGGTGGGTCTGCACCCCAGTTCCACTTTGGCCCCAGAACGGTCTCTGAGTCTCCCTTCATCCGAGGGAGTCTTCACACCAGAGAATATTGCAGTGAAATAAAACCCTCATTACAGTTTAACAAAGCTTTGAAAAAATGATTGTAGACAGTTTGCAGAGCCATGGCGATGAGTTAAAAGTGCTATTTTTAAAACAGGATTCTGGAAGTTTTTGCGCTAAAGTCAGCATTTCCCACTTTTAAATTATTTTCACTTATGTTGTGGTAAAACTGCTCATTTCCTTCTTGATAAATAATCCAGCAAAATAGAACATAGAGGAGAGTTTTTGAATGGTCGCCCCTTTGTAGAGATCTCCCCTCAGGGCGCGAGTGCAGCAGATTGGTCAGTAACTGGTCCTGCAAGACAGTTCCGGTGGAGCTCCCCGCCCCGCCCCCGCCGTGTGTCAAATACGCAGTCGGCGTGGCCCTGAGGGGTAACCCGGCTGATTCCACCCTGTCACTAGAAAGGGCCTGAGTAGGTAAACAGATGACTTCAAGGCTCCACAGTCAGGATGTTTAATCTCCGAGTCATTTCCATGCAGAGAAAACTGAGATCTTACTGGCAATAAAACACCTTAGTCGGAGAGGACATAACAAGGGCAGGACACAAACCGACCGAGTGACGGTCGGAGAATGGTGACATGCCTGCCTCGGTGACGGTCTCCCCCGGGCGCTGTCGCAGAGAGGACCCTTGGGACCATTCCCGTGGAAGACACTTCCCGCTGAGGGAGGCCCGTGCCCGGAAGTGGCGCCTCTGCTCTTGGAAAGCGTTTGTCCTCCAGACCCGCAGGTGACCTGTGTTTAAAGTGTGTTTACAACGTGTTTCTGTTGCAGTTCATCCCATTCAGGGCTGTGGAGTCGCGTCCTGACAGTCGGGTGCACGAGTCTGAAACCACGTTTCAGGTTTTTAGTGAGAAATGGATGTGCCGTCTGCGCCGTGGCCACTGCCACAGGCACGGGTGACGTTCCACCTGCCTTCTGGACAGAAAACACTGGTCTGCTAATGTTGCGTAACAAGCGAGTGCAGCGAGGGGTGTCAGCGTTCACTGACATGCTCCGTGAGACCTTCAGAAAGCCCTGAGTTTCCGTCCCGAGCCCGTGGGCTGCACTTGGAGAAAATAGTCACCAAGGGGGCCAAGTGTGGCTCTGGTCGTCTGAGGATTGGGTGAAAGTAGGTTCTTTTCTGCTCGCAGCCACCGACGCTGCGTTTCCAGGCTGTCTGGGCCCGTGGGGGCCGTTTAGTTCAGCCCAGAAACTGTTCAGGAGAGAGGTCACGTAGGTCCTGGGTGGCCGTGAGTCCCGTGCTTGCGGTGTTGGGTCAGAGGTGAGAAGACGGTGAGGTGATCGTCTGGGTGATGAATGTCAGCTGGGACCTGGAGCGGGAACGTGGCGCCTGAGGACGAGGAGAGGATGCTCACGCCGCCTGCGTGCAGCTGCCCGGGGCTTCCCTGCGCGTGGAGACGTCTCCCGGGGGCTAGTGCTGACTCGGCAGTGCCAGGGGCCGGCACCGAGGCTCCCTCCCCTGGCCTCGCCCGATGGCCTCAGTGGCTGCTGCGGCTCAAGCCATCCCATCTGTACTTTGGACGGAAAGTAGAGGAAGGTGGGCACCTCTTAGGAAAGCAGCATCATCCAGAAACTCCTAGCAGACTTCTGCTTGTGTGCCACGTGCTCGCGCCAGCTTCCGGGGAGGCTCAGGCCGGGACGTTGTGTTTGGGTGCGTGGCGGTGTGAGAAAGCACGGGGTCCTTCTAGGGTGGAAGCGACAGCACCAGGCGGGCGGAGGAGTAGCTGCTGCCCCACGCCACGTGCACTAAACGGGACCACGTGCAGTGTCTGGGTGGGGGCCGCGGAGACGAG